CGCACAGCTGAAAACGCATCGCGATGGGTCAACACAAACTCATCTGCGAGAACAGCAGCTTTAGACAACGAATCCACCTTTTGCTCATTGATATATACAACAACATTCTCTGGAAGACACGTTTTGAATTCCTCCAGCAGGACCAATTCTCTTAGCTGAGCAAAGTCCTTCACTTTACTTGCAGCTAACCACTTATCAAACAAGAGAGTCTTCTCCCTGGCAAACTCTACATGTGTTTGGTTGGCAGATTTTTCACACGACCGAAACCTCTGGCGATATGCCTCTGGAACTAGCTCATAAGCCCTTAAAATAGTGGATTTCACAATTTCATAATCCAGGCTGTCATCAATAGACAAGCTCGCACACACTTCCTGTGCTTTCCCCACCAATTTACACTGCAGCAACAAACTCCACACATCCTTGGGCCATTTCAAAGTGGTTGCGATGCGTTCAAAGGCATTAAAGTAAGAGTCAACCTCACTTTCTCTGAAAGGTGGCACTAAAGCAATTTGCCTGCTTGCATCAAATTGGTCAGAGGAGAGTGAATCAGAAGATTTACTCACAACTTTACTCACTGGGGTAGAGGTAACATTGCGCTGCCGGGAAGGATCCAGCTCCATAGCCCTTATGCGGAGATGCATAAGCTCAACTTCTTTGGACTTAGTCGCAAGCTCCACCTCTTTCAGGCGAAGGGCGAGCCCAAGATCCTCCGTAACCAATCCTGTTGATTGTCCGGCTGGGCTAACGTTTGGGATCTGAATGGCAGCAGGAGCCTCCGCCCCTGGCGACACCCGTCCACTGGGAGCTTTTGGGATGGTTGCAGCAGCTTCTGCTCCCGCATCCACCACCAAACCTCCAGTCGCCTCAACCGGCCGAGGTTTCGACTCCGCAAATACCCCCTTATCCACCAGCTGAGCTGTCAGGCACTGCTTAATTTCTGCCTTTTTAGCATGTAAAGGCACACTAACATTAAACAAATCTGCCACCAACAACAAATCCGCCTTTGTGCATCGATCCAACTTATCCACGGTGGGTTGTAGTGCAAAATCATCCACATCAAAAGTCATTGTGACTAGATCACCCCCAACACTACAAGAAAACTGCCAACCAAAAACTGCAGACAACCCACAAAATACAATGAGCAAAAAGAATGGCAAAAGAAAAAAAAAAAAGGACGAGCCCCCACTTTATGTTACGCCCCAGTCTAGGGGTACAGGAACGCAACACAAGTTTGAAAGAATTGCCCCGCCCTGGTCCCCAAAACCATACACAAAGGGAAACCAATTTCTTAGTGAATCGTGATTTATTTTTCTGCACTGCAAAAATGAAGCTCCGGGGTGAACAAAGGCCAAAATAACAAACAAAACAACCTAAGTCAGGAGGAGGTGTTATCTACAACCCTATGTGAAATCAAATATCAAACAAAAGACAAGCGCTACACCTAACTCCCTAACTGAAATAAACAGGAGAAAACAGTGCAAGGAAAAACAATAAGGCAGCTCACCCCTTCTGTTGCAGTGCTATTTACAAGGCTATTTACAATGAAAACTAATGTACACACTATATACAAAACTTCAAAAAAGTCGCACAAAAGTCTCAGGTTTTGGAGGCCAGGGTCAGGTCTGCTGCTGCTGTCAGTGGCTGCCCCGGGACAACTGCTGGTGAGGGATTTGAATGAAGATCACATGGCCAGGGGACCAATCAGCAGCCGTCAGCTCATCCACTCCGGGACCTGCAAAGACTTAAAGGCACAGACAACAACAGCCACCAAAACAGATTATGGACAGGGCCATAACACTGCCGGTAACTGACGGCCGCGTGGACGTCGCTTCCACCTGGGAGAAGGGGCAAGAGCGGCAGGGGAAGCGGGCGGTGATATGAGCCAGCTCTGAAGTGGCTGCTCCTGCTGTGGGGTGGATAGGCTGGGTGGAATGAGGATGATTCCCAGTGCTTTGTAAAAAGCCTGGGCTGGTGTGAGCTGGCCACTGGGGGGCTGCATGTAAATGAAACAGTCACTCTCACTGACCCCGAGGGCTTGCTTGGCGAGCGAAGGATGACGGCGGTGTGACCGCCGTTTTGCCCGGAAGGAGGGAGAAGCCGACTGAACGGGCGGCATTTGTCCGGCTGAGAGTCCTCTGGTGGACTGGGGAGAGGATCTTCCAGTAAGCCAGGCAGGTCAGCTGTCGCAGTTGGGGGGTGAAGATGAAGTGTGTTGAGGATGAAGTCCTGTACGAGTGGGTGAAGTGAATCCAGCAGCCAGGGGTGATTGGAAACTAGCCGCTGTAGTCGGGCCTCCAGAGCATGACGAAGTTCCTCCCCCTCATGCTCTAGCCACAGATTAGTCCATCTTGAAACTGAATCGGTTAATTCCTCCCGAACCTCCTTGGAAGGTGCGAATGCCGCTGGGTCCATGTTTGGCCGGTTCGTACTGTCACGGCTGCCGAGGCGAGCCATGTGGTATTGACGGGAGAAAGGACCCAAATCGCAGGCAGTAGATGATAATGCTGGTGATGTTATATTTACACAGTGGTGAGATGACAAAACAGGCAAGAGGGAATACAAAACTAAAGACCTAAACTGGGAAAGCTAAATGACAAACCTGAGAGGGTACCAGAATGGGGTGAGAGGCAGAGAGACACGGACGAGGAACAGGACACCATGGACCACAGAGTAACGCAGACTGACACGGCGTAACGCAGACGAACCAGCAACAGGCAGGAGAACACACAGGGCTTAAATACACACACCAGTTATCAGGGGATGAGAGACAGAAGGGCAACACAGCTGGGAGAAATCAGAGCTGACGGGACAGAGGAAACGTAAACTGAACACACTCACATCAGACAGAGACCTTCACAATAAGACAGGAAACTCAGACACAGGGAACAAAACAAGACACAGAACTAAACAGACAGATTCGCATAAAGACGGGGTGACACCATAGACAGACAGAGACACAGACCGGATATAACACATAGAACTCGAACAATAATCATCATCATAATAAACTAAAAGCGCTGGGTCACCGACCCAGGACCATGACACATTCAGAGAGTCTTGTATCTAAACTGGTTAATAATTAAACTTGCTTGTCCTGATGTTGACATCTTTAGAAAAAACATCAGTGCAAATGTAACAGTTATTGTTTATCTGTGTCATTGGCTTTTTATAATTTGGACTTACATATATCTTATTAAAACATGTGTGAGGTCCAGAGAGGACAGGTTAAAGTTTACGTAGACCTGTGTGCCCCACCTGATCTCTTTGATGACTTTCCTGTTTTTTCTTGATCCAGTGTACATGATATTTGGCTCTACACGTTTACCTCAAAGCCTCCAAAACTTCATCACTATTGAATTTCTCATCATCCCTCCAGTTATGAATCCTCTCATATATGGATTTAAACTCACCAAAATACGAAACAGGATATTGGGTTTATTTTATTTTAAAAGAACTTCAAAATTAAGAGTTTCTTGTTCACCAAATAAAAATGGAGCAAAATAAAATTTAAAAAATGTACATTATTCTCTTGTACATGACAGCAAATGAAGGCCTCATAACATTAACTATAAATGCACCAAGACAACCAAGTCTCAGTAAAAAGCATTATTGTTTACTTAAATTTGACCTTTAGACTATCAAAGATCTAAAGACAACTAACACATATTTTACCTTTTAAAAATTTATCATTATTGTTTTTTGTTTTTTACATTTTTTCAGATGTAAACTAAAATGCATTTCCACTTCTGGTTTTAGGTTTAATCCAGGTCATCTTATCGTTTGAACTTGAGGTGTCATAATGCCATATCTCTAACACGTTCCATTGAGATGTAAATTGGTCAATTTATTGTCATTTACAGTAAATAGGTTTATGTTTCTCAAATAACAGACTCATATTTATATCCTTTTTTCAAGCATAAAATGTTTGAGTCTCAAGAGTGACGTGTTTACTGTGGCTCAAAGTTTAGCCAGTTTTTCGGGTGCCTCTGTAGTCTCGCTCATTGTACACTTATATCACAAGGCTAATTCAGAAAATATAACTGACATGATGATGTCTATATTTAACAGAATATCAGTTTCACAGTTTGCAAATTAATTCAAAGACAGGGGAAGAAAGAAGGTTAGTAGGTTATAGATTCATGCTGCTTTAAAACTACCTTCTTTCCACAGAGCTGCTGTTAAAAAATAAAGGCCTGACAGTACTATATACACAGCAAGTGTGTTTTTGTTTATGAGTTGGCACCACACATTGTACAAGGTTCATGTTAGCACAGAATTCTGGGCCCTATGTATAAACAGTCTCTATATATGTGACACAATGTAATGTGTGGAAGGAAGAGAGGACTCAAACACAGGACTCGCAGGCTGGTGAAGGATGTGGATGATGTTTGTTGTGAAGCCAGGATGAACAGAACATGAGAAGACGGACTGACTATACCAATTGAATAAATGAATGAATGAGTGAGGGAGTGAGTGAGTGAATTAATAAATTAATGGTTGGCTGGCTGACTGGATGGACTGAACTGAAAACACACATGAGGAATGGACGGAATGACAAGACTGGGAACTGAGGGCTTAGATACACAGTGTGGAGTTGTGATATGATGTGATAACATTAGGTGGCTGCATTATAATGTGAATGTATAATATTGTTGTCAGGCCTCTGTGTAACTGTAGGAGAAAAATAGTTTGATAGAAACAGCATTAGAATAGAATAATCCTTTAATTGTCCCACAAGGGGAAATTTGCTTGTAACAGCAGCCAGAAAGACACATATAGAAACAAACAGGACACAGAACAAAAACATACACTCATCCCTGTTGGACAACATCTCCCACCCCATGCAGGAGACTGTGACAGCACTGAGCAGCTCCTTCAGTGGCAGGCTGCGGCACACACGGTGTGGGACGGAGAGCTTTCGCAGGTCTTTCCTCCTCACTGCTGTCAGACTCCACAACAAAGACTTTAACTGATCAAACACACACATTCACACACTCTGAGTGCAATACTCTTTTTCTGACAAAGTTGTATTTTTACTCAGTTGTATAAAGCATTTGCATTCTATTTCTATCCTAATGTATATTTTATTCTATTTATTGTACTGTATATAGTATTTTATTTTATTCTATAATTAATGGGAGGTGAAGAGGGACAGCAGACATTAGTCAGGTACAGACGCAGCAGCTCAGTGCTCTGTTATGTTGTTATTTTAAAAAGGTAGATGTGCCCTCTGATCATGGATAATCAGTCTAATGAAAGAAGTTTTATTCTGTCAGGATTTAATGAGACGATGAATTTCACAGTACCCCTCTTCTCAGTTACTTTACTGTATTACTGTGTGATTTTGTTCTTCAATATTTCTCTTGTGCTGCTCATTGTCTTGGATGAAAGCCTCCATGAACCTATGTACATTTTACTGAGCAGCTTCTGCATTAATGCACTTTATGGGACCACAGGTTTCTACCCAAAATTCCTTTCAGATTTACTGTCGTCTTCTCACAGAATCTCCTATGAAGGGTGCCTTTTACAAGGTTTTGTCATGTATTCATTTTCTTTTTGTGATTTGTCTATTTTAACTGTCATGGCCTTTGACAGGTATCTGGCAATATGTCGACCTCTGCACTACCACTCTTTCATGACTAAGAGGAGGCTTTCACAGCTGGTGTGTTTCTCCTGGCTGACACCTTTCTGTCTTTTTTCCATTAATGTCCTGCTTACAGCAAGACTCAAGTTATGTGGTATAAACATTCAGAGAGCCTTATGTCTAAACTGGTTAATTTTTAAACTTGCTTGTCCTGAAGCTGACACTTTTCCAAATAACATCAGTGCATATGTGATAATTGCCATTTGTTATTTTCATTATGTTTTCATAATTTGGACTTACATATATATTATTAAAACATGTGTGAGGTCCAGAGAGGACAGAGTAATGTTTATGCAGACCTGTGTGGCCCATCTGACTTCTGTGATCATAAATGCCATTGTAATGGCTGTTGATGCGATGTACTTGCGCTTTGGCTCCAGAGATTTACCCCAAAGCCTCCAAAACTTCATCACTCTTGAATTTGTCATCATCCCTCCAGTTATGAATCCTCTCGTGTATGGATTTAAACTCAGCAAAATACGAAACAGAATCTTGAGTTTAATTTATTTGAAAGGGAAATGATTTCCATTAAGGTTAGATTTCCTTATTTAAAACAATTCAAAAATATTCAAAGCAGATGCAGCAATATAAATACAAGTCTTTCTGAAGGCACTTGATTCAGAAACATTTAGTCATGTTTGCCTTGTCTAAGGCAAACATATATTTGGACTAGACTAATTTTACTAATATTCTTTGTTATATTTATCATAATATGACATAAATTTGTCATGTGTCATATTTGCTCAATCCAGCACGAACATTAAATGAAAACAACATTTTTTTCATGTTTTTGACTAAGAATTTCATTTGAAAAGGATTCTGCATGAGTTTTTAAGTACTGTTGTAAAAGTCATCTAGATACCATTCAGAAATCATCACAAATTGACATTTCATTTCTTTGCCTTGCTGTGTCTTGATGTTCAAGGAATATTAGCTGATATATGTGCAAGTTGATTAAACAGGTTTATTTCAAAGTGTTTTAGGTTTAAAGTAAACGAAATATTGTATGAAATATTCTGTTGTAAAGGGCTGGTTAGTGCAGGCATCCCTGTGTGTTACATCTCAGTTTATCACAAAGGTCAGTTAACAATGCTTAATCTTTCTTTTTTTTTTCCTATAAACACGTTCCATATATAAATATAAGGATCAGTGTTATTAGGTTGTATTTTTTCAGTAGTATTTATTATTTATATATAAAGGTTTTTTATTATTATTTTGGAAAAATAGTAATTGAACTGTTACCTACTTTTATTTTGCATTTTTTTTGTTTTTAAATTTATATGTAAATTTCTCTCTGTACATTAATTAATGACACCATAATTCTGTACTTTTTGAAATCTGATCATATATCCCCATTGCTTGATATACTGTAGTATTTACTACTTTAAGAATTAAAGTTTTGTTTAGCATATCAAGCATAAAATTGTGCTGTTGTTGTTTTTTGAAGTTTTTCAATCCCATAGCATAAAAAAAAACCCCAACAAAAAACAATGCAATAATAGTATTTCAACAGTAACTCCCTTCTCTTCTACTCCTTCCTCGCCTTAACTAGGAAGGAGGCTCTCTCAGCTGGTGTGTTTCTCCAGGCTAACACCTTTCTGCTTTTTCTCCATCAATGTCCTGCTAACATCAAGTTGTGTGATATAAACATTCTGTCACGGCTGTCGAGGCGAGCCATGTGGTATTGACGGGAGAAAGGACCCAAATCGCAGGCAGTAGATGATAATGCTGGTGATGTTATATTTACACAGTGGTGAGATGACAAAACAGGCAAGAGGGAAGACAAAACTAAAGACCTAAACTGGGAAAGCTAAATGACAAACCTGAGAGGGTACCAGAATGGGGTGAGAGGCAGAGAGACACTGACGAGGGACAGGACACCGTGGACCACAGAGTAACGCAGACTGACACGGCGTAACGCAGACGAACCGGCAACAGGCAGGAGAACACACAGGGCTTAAATACACACACCAGTAATCAGGGGATGAGAGACAGAAGGGCAACACAGCTGGGAGAAATCAGAGCTGACGGGACAGAGGAAACGTAAACTGAACACACTCACATCAGACAGAGACCTTCACAATAAGACAGGAAACTCAGACACAGGGAACCAAACAAGACACAGAACTAAACAGACAGATTCGCAAACAGACGGGGTGACACCATAGACAGACAGACCGAATATAACACATAGAACTCGAACAATAATAATCATCATAATAATAAACTAAAAGCGCTGGGTCACCGACCCAGGACCATGACAGTACCCCCCTCAAGGGCTGGCACCAGACAGCCCAACACAAGAAAACGAAAGAAAAACACAAAACCGCCCAAAACAGAAACAACCCGAACAGGGCGGGCAGCGGGGGTCCAGGAAGGAGGGCTCGAAACAAAACACCGAAGCACAAGAAAGCCCCAAAACAAAAGAGGAGTCCAAAAAAGAACAGTTCAGGGGCCGGCCGTGCGGACGGCAACGGCGGCGACGTGGAAACAGTTCAGGGGGCCGGCCATGCGGACGGCAACGGCGGCGACGTGGAAACAGTTCAGGGGCCGGCCGTGCGGAAGGCAGCGGGGCGATCCGGGGCCGGCCGTGCGGAAGGCAGGGGGCGATCCGGCGGGGGTCCAGGGGCCGGGCGTCGGCGAAGGCCAGCCGGCGGAAGGCAGCGGAAGGCAGCGGAAGGCAGCGGAAGGCAGCGGCGGCGATTCAGGCGAAGGGGGTCTGGGGCCGCCTACGATGGAGATGACGCCCGACCAGTGGCCTGGAAGGCGGCCAATAAACCACAGACCCAGACGAGGCTGGACCAGGCGACGCCGAAGGCGAAGACACGGAGGCTGGGCCAGACGAGGATGAAGCAGCTGAAGCGGAGGCTGGGCCAGACGAAGGCGAAGCGGAGGCTGGGCCAGACGAGGATGAAGCAGCTGAAGCGGAGGATGAAGCCGGAGCTGGCGACGCTGACGATGCTCCTCGGGCCCCCCAGCTGACGAGGCAGGAGGCTGGACGGGCTCCTCGGGCCCTCCAGCTGACGAGGCAGGAGGTTGGATGGGCTCCTCGGGCCCTCCAGCGAGAACAGTCTCAGGACCAGTGGGCACAGGGACCTCTGGCAGGGACAGAACAGAACCAGCAGGCGCACGGGCCTCTGGCATGCACAGAACAGGACCAGCAGGTGCACAGGCCCCTGGCAGGGACAGAACAGAACCAGCAGGCACACGGGCCCCTGGCAGGCACAGAACAGGACCAGCAGGCGCATGGGCCTCTGGCAGGCACATAGCAGGCTGCAGCTGCACAGAGCATTGACTCTGCTCAGGCAGCAACAGCCGGGTGCAGTCCTCAGCTGGCTTCTTAACCTCCAGGGGTCCAGAGTCAGCTGGGGTCTGAAACCCAGCCTCAATGGAGGCCCTGGAGTGCATCTCAGTCTCAGAACTGGCCAGCCTTTGAGGAATGTTGACATTATTAGATTTGTCTCTCTGCTTGGAATGGATGGGCAAAGAACAGTGTTTTTCAGGTTGAATTGACTTGTATTGTTGTACAGGTGGAGAAACTGACACAGGATGCAGGGCTGGTGGCTGCTGAACAGGAGGCTGAACTGAGAGTGACTGACATAATGGTTGTGATGACAATGGTGGTGGAGTGAGAGACTGAATGGATGATAAGGCTGATGATTCTTCTGCCAACTGGGCTTCTGACTGGGCTAGGGATTGCAACATAGTTTGCAGTAAGTCTGGCTGTGACTGTAACTGAGCTATGGGTGGTGAGCTGAATGTGGTGGAGGTGGCGACTGAGCTTCTGGCCGGGCGGCTAACCGAGCTTCTAGTAGATAGTCTTTTTTATTTTCAGATTCCGGATTAAAAGTCCTGGTTAGTATAACACAGGACTCGGAAGAGGCAGAATGAAAGCAGTCCTTTAAATCCTCAGAGCATGTGTTAACGGACCTTGGAGTATCTGACAAAGAATTAACCGTTTCTGAATTAATCTTTTCACATTTGAATAAACCTGAGTTGACTGGCATTGAATTACTAGACTCAGGATCAACTGACAGAGTGGTCATGAATGCAAGCTCAGATGGAACAGAAAAAACACTGTGTTCCTGACTCACAGAATCTGCCGGTAACTGACGGCCGCGTGGACGTCGCTTCCACCTGGGAGAAGGGGCAGAGCGGCAGGGGAAGCGGGCGGTGATATGAGCCAGCTCTGAAGTGGCTGCTCCTGCTGTGGGGTGGATAGGCTGGGTGGAATGAGGATGATTCCCAGTGCTTTGTAAAAGCCTGGGCTGGTGTGAGCTGGCCACTGGGGGGCTGCATGTAAATGAAACAGTCACTCTCACTGACCCCGAGGGCTTGCTTGGCGAGCAAAGGATGACGGCGGCATGACCGCCGTTTTGCCCGGAAGGAGGGAGAAGCCGACTGAACGGGCGGCATTTTGTCCGGCTGAGAGTCCTCTGGTGGACTGGGGAGAGGATCTTCCGGTAAGCCAGGCAGGTCAGCTGTCGCAGTTGGGGGTGAAGATGAAGTGTGTTGAGGATGAAGTCCTGTACGAGTGGGTGAAGTGAATCCAGCAGCCAGGGGTGATTGGAAACTAGCCGCTGTAGTCGGGCCTCCAGAGCATGACGAAGTTCCTCCCCCTCATGCTCTAGCCACAGATTAGTCCATCTTGAAACTGAATCGGTTAATTCCTCCCGAACCTCCTTGGAAGGTGCGAATGCCGCTGGGTCCATGTTTGGCCGGTTCGTACTGTCATGGCTGCCGAGGCGAGCCGTGTGGTATTGACGGGAGAAAGGACCCAAATCGCAGGCAGTAGATGATAATGCTGGTGATGTTATATTTACACAGTGGTGAGATGACAAAACAGGCAAGAGGGAATACAAAACTAAAGACCTAAACTGGGAAAGCTAAATGACAAACCTGAGAGGGTACCAGAATGGGGTGAGAGGCAGAGAGACACGGACGAGGAACAGGACACCATGGACCACAGAGTAACGCAGACTGACACAGCGTAACGCAGAGTGACACGGCGTAACGCAGACGAACCAGCAACAGGCAGGAGAACACACAGGGCTTAAATACACACACCAGTAATCAGGGGATGAGAGACAGAAGGGCAACACAGCTGGGAGAAATCAGAGCTGACGGGACAGAGGAAACGTAAACTGAACACACTCACATCAGACAGAGACCTTCACAATAAGACAGGAAACTCAGACACAGGGAACCAAACAAGACACAGAACTAAACAGACAGATTCGCATAAAGACGGGGTGACACCATAGACAGACAGAGACACAGACCGGATATAACACATAGAACTCGAACAATAATCATCATCATAATAAACTAAAAGCGCTGGGTCACCGACCCAGGACCATGACACATTCAGAGAGTCTTGTATCTAAACTGGTTAATAATTAAACTTGCTTGTCCTGATGTTGACACCTTTAGAAAAAACATCAGTGCAAATGTAACACTTATTGTTTATCTGTGTCACTGGCTTTTTATAATTTGGATTTACATATATCTTATTAAAACAT